CCCCCAATCTCACCCAAACCTAAACCCCCCTCCCCCACTCTCTCTCTCTCTATCTCTCACAAAAACCATCGGAATTTCCGAGAAATTATAACAATAACCGAAAAAGAAATGGGTCTGGTAGATAACGGCTGCGACTCGGCCAGCCACACCCACAAGGTGTTCCTCCTCGCCAACTACGCCCTCATCGGGGCCGCCTCCAGCTGCATCTTCCTCACCCTATCCCTCCGCCTCAACCCCTCCCTCGCCGGCGCCTTCCTCGTCCTCCTCCACGCCGTGACCATCGCCGGCGCCGGCTGCAACGTAGCTTCCCGCGGCGGCGGATCCAGGTTTTACGGGGCCCACATGGTGGCGACCGCCCTCACCGCCATTTTCCAGGGCTCCGTCTCGGTTCTGATCTTCAGCCGGCCGCGGATTTCCTTGGACACCTCAAGTCGTACGTCCGGGAGGACGACGCCGTCTTCATCCCGAAACTCGCCGGCGGGCTGTGCGCGGTGATTTTCTGCCTGGAGTGGGCGGTGCTGACGCTGGCTTTCTTTTTGAACTACTACACCTATGTGGAGAGGAGGGGCGATTGTGGGAATACCAATAGTTACGGGGTGAGAAGTGGGAAAGTAGGATGAGGTTGATTTGAGGACTCTGCCATGGCAATTTCAAGTTTGACGCAAATTATTTTGATTATTTTCTAATCCATTGGAGAAAATACTGAAAATTTTGTTGGGATTTGTTTGTATTTTTTTTTTTGGGTTATTTATGAATATTGGAGTGGTTATTTGTTCATTCTTTGAATCATGAATAAAAATATGAGTACTTATTTAATTCTTTTTTTTTTGGTTTTTTTTTCTTTATAATGCGTATGATGATGCGTGTGTATAGCTACGCAGTTTCTGTCAAGTGGAATGCTTTTTATCTTCAATTCATGGATTGGGTGTCTCTGAAGAAGATTATGCGGTAATTGTTCACGTATTGGGAATTGGGAAGTGGGAAGGCACTGTAAGTGGACCAAATCATGTTAATTAAGTGCAATCTTAGAAATTGAGTTGCGTTTTGGGTGGATTGCCGGAACAAAGACTCGATCTTGAGTCCTCCGAGAAGATTGTTTTTTTGCTCAGTATGCTTGAACAATGTAATGTTTGAATTCAACTGGATGATTCTTAGAATTGTGTTGAAGAGGTGTATCAATTTTTTGTAATGATACTTCATTATATTTTGTTTGAATTTTGTGTGAAAACCAAGTCGTCTAGAGCAAATCCCTAGTAGTAAGCCACAATGTCGTTTATAAAAATTAGACTTGAAACAGAATATCACAAGAAAGAAAAGGTCAGACAGACACTTCATCATGGTACTTTGGAGCCCTCCGTTTGTGGGATGGCTCAAGGTGAACATAGATTGAAGGTCCTACAAGTTGTATCGATGCAATTTAGGGCAGGCATCGAGTGTACTTATAACATATGAGGTGACAGGTGTTCGAATTGGTTTGTTAGCTTTTCTTATGCATTGGGCTGAAAGACTAATGCTCTTGTTCTAATTTATCTTTTTATTTTTGTGTAGGAACAATTACTTATGCAACGATGGCTTTATGAAGCTGCTTTGGATGCGCGGCAAGATAGACATATGCTTTCCGATTTCTAGTTTAAATCTGGGATTTGTGAAAACAACCTTGAGGTCCAATCTAATTGCTAAAACGACTAATATTTTTCAAAACCACAGAATTTCTCATGAGATTTGTATGTTAACTTTACAAAACCTCTAGAGCACATTCGTGACACCATGAAGAGTTTGGTGTTTTGAAAACTCTATTTTCTTTCTTATTATGAGGGATATTTTAAATCTCTCTTGTATTTGTATTGGCAATATAACAAGTCGAGCTTACTCGATGATGTCAATTTCTTCTATTCGGATGGTTTTGGCTGCAAACGGTTGCATAGCAGTACCTGCCGCCACAAGGAACATCCAATTTTCTTTAGTCATTCTGCAAAAATATCATTTTAAGCTACTGAAAACATGAAAAAGGTCAAATACAACAGACCTCGCATTTCGTAGCTTATGTTCTCTCAAAAATCTTGAATCACGACAAAATTTAACTTAACCCATAAAATAAAATTCAGTTTAGTTTTTTAAGTCCCTATTCCAAACAATTAAACATTTTCTCATTATAAACTAAAGAGGAAAACTGAAACAGCCAAGGGGAGCATAATTTTCACAATTTGCACCACACCATCCAGTTCAAAAGCAACAAACGAAACAATTTGCTACATTCTCAATGTGCATAAATATGTTAACAAGTTGAAGAAAAAAAAAAACCCTACCAAAAAAAATTAATTTGTTGCTGTAATGAAGTCTGAAAATAAACTCAAACCGAGCCTCACAACAGATCAAATTTCGATCTACATGTACACACTTTTCCTATAGCTGAATCTGAAAAAACTCGCAGTCAAAATTGAAAAAAAAATGAAGAAATTTGATAATCTCCACTTACTCGAGTGGTGGAGTAGACGGGGCTTGAGGAGTGCGACGCGAAGGGAGCTCTGGCCGTGGCTGTTGGCGGGGGAACTACTCTGTTCGGTCTGCGGAAACCCTAAAAATTACAAAAACTAAAAAACGTAATATGAAATAAGAATATATTAGTAAATTAAAAGAAACAAAATACCTTCGTGTCACCACTTCGATCTATCTTTCCATGAACTGCTGCTCCTTTAATGTATGCTCAAACAAGAACGCCGAAAAATCAACCCATACATGAATTCCACAATTAAAAAAACCATACGGCAGCCAAAGAAACTCGCATAGAAATCAAGACTAGCATTCTTACCATGAAATTTCGTTCAGCCATCCGACAGTCCCCGTCAGCCCATGGCCGACCTCTCCGTCGTCGTTAGACGAATCAGCCTCCATGACCCTGAAGACGCCTGCTTCGCCGCCTCCGCACGCCGCCTCCGCCTTTCGATCTGTGCATCGCCGCCTCATTTCCCTGAAGCCTGGCCGTGAAGAGAGCTGGAAAAAAAAAACCTCTATTGATTTCCCTCTGCTCTCGATCTTTCTGAAAGAGAGGATATCTGAGAGTAAGATTTCTCAAATCTTACAGATCTAATCGAAAGATTGGGTAGGAGGGTAAAAGCCGTACCCGATTTCACGCTAAAAAAATTCGCAAACAGTAGCGAGAAGGGCGAGAGGATTACGCCGTACGACCACCATCTCACCAGTTTTTCCGCTGTTTGCAACGCAGGTGTCTTCTAAGGGCAACTGTGTCATTTGACAACAAAAGCAGTGGCAACATTAGTAAAAACAGCTGAAATTAAAGTGCATTTTTGTCCAAAAAAGATGACACGTGTCAGCGCCAAACACTTTTTCTTATATGTATAAGGGAGATATATTTCGTACAATTATCGATGGCAGTGGTCGCGATACTGAATGATATGGGAAATCATTTTTTACTACTAATGTGTAACCCGTGCGATGCACAGTTTTGAAATTTTGTAAAATAAAGGTCATTCGACAAAAAGTGTTATCATACACAAGGATGATATCCGATTATTTTTTCCCAAAATAATAGATGATATTATAAAACAAAATGCACAAATGTACGAATACACAGCAGCCAACAACTGAAAAAGTAGAAGACAGGTCAGGAGACCGCCTAGAATTCCGACTAGCAACGCTAGAATAAAAATAAAAACTCACAACTAAACTAACCAACAACTAAAACAACTGAAAAAAGTCACAACTAAACTAACCAACAACTAAAACAACTGAAAAAAGACCCAACAGGATAATACTCGACTGTCGGATCCCAACAGGATAATAAGTTTTGACACTCGGGCTCACAGGAGCCAACGGCCCAAACCAAAAACACAAGACACGCACAACACAACTACGAAAACAGAAAACAAGAACACAAATAATCTAAATAAATCTAACAACACTTCCCCAGCGACCGAGCAAGCCCGAACCAGCAGTGAACGATCGACAAAAGACAAATCCAAGCCAAGAAGAACCTGCTACCGAAACTGCAATGAAGCCTATACAATAGCAGAACCTAACCCCGAACCAGTCCCCGAATCGACCCATCGAAACCAGAGAGCCATAGTCCTTCCCACACCGATTCCACCCGAACTCATCTAACTCCACTATATGAGGTCGATAGAACCTCCCCTGCCGCTTAACACCACTAGTCAAACGGGAGATTGTGCGAGAGAATATGGTCGTCACCCCGACCACCACGACAATACCGCCGCAGCCACCGGAGTCCCGACATAGATCCGCACACCGCCCGACTTCTCCACAGACCCCCCAACCAGAGATACCATCCCGTCACAAAAGCTGAGCTCCGCCGGTAACACCCGGCAATCGCGGACAAGGGAGAAAAGAGGGACTTACCACCACAATCGGAGCAACGTCGGCAACGGAGAACCTCCACCATCGGAGCAACGTCGGCAACGGAGAGCCTCCACCATCAAGCCCGACCGGGAAGGACGCCATCCAGTGAATCCCTGCCCACAACCGAGAGCCTGCATCGTCGACGAGAAAAATTGAATCCCAATCGAGGGCCATCCACCGAGAATTAGAGGCGCACGCCGTCAATGGAGGCCGAGACAGTCATCGACGACCCTTGGCCGAGATGAACCGTCACCGAGGAAGGCGAATCTACCGGAGAGAAGAGTTTTGCGTCGAGGGTTTTTTTTTGGAGAGAAAATCGCCAGAAGTATGTAGAGTGTCGTGATAATACACGGTTAAAAAACATCATTATACACAACATTATTAATTTGATTCTTGGGTAATTCGTCGTACTCACAAACTAATATTTACAGTTTTAAATGTAAAATTTATATATATTAAAAAAACTATGTTTAAAAAGGATATACAAAAATTATTTAAACATTAATAGTTTTGTTATATGTGTCGGCCTACAACTATATAGATTCAATTTATGTTTATTTAGGTTAATGCATATAGTACATTTTTAAGAAAAGCAAATTACATTGGCAAATACTAATTTATCAACTTGATTTCGTCTGATTAATTAGGAGAATATATTTCAACTATCTTGTTACGTTTTTCTATAAATATGTTAGGATGTAAAAGTCAATAATTGTGAAAAAACTAATAATATGGTTAGAACTTAAATTATGTTTTCATGTTTATCTTGACCAAAATATTATCAACATGAATCATTAAAAATCAAAATTGTAGTTTTTTATAATGTATATCAATAAAATTATTTAATAAAAGAATCTTTGATCATATTCGATTTGATCTAATTTGAAAACATATATATGCAAGCAATTAATGCATATATTTCAAACATGAACGAAAGAGGCATATCCGTGTCGAGGAAAGCAAGGGCTTCAATTGTTTGGATGTTCACATCATATTCTATTTCTTTTGTCAGTAGTCACATAATCAAAGAATCAGCCACGGAAGGCAGGTTCCATTTGATCATGACAAATATTAGACATGGTCCAAGCTACTCTTATTCTCTCATCAGGTTGCTTTATGGTAGGAAATGGAGCGACGAAGAAGCTTCAACTGCACTCCAGTGTTATTGCCTTTACGTGATTGTGTTAGCCATGAATGGTAATTGGTCATTCATATAACTCTGCATTTTCTTTCCTTC